AAAAAAAATGTCTCAGATCGACCCGGAAAAAATTTGTCTTATAGAATGTGGCCTGTAGAATCCATAATTTCAAACAGTTCCAAGATTGGGCTACTAGTTCAAAAGTTACAGCCTTTTGAATTTTCTTTCGAAAATTGAAGGTAATACACTCTGCCTTTTTTGAGCCCCGAAAAAAAAATTGTCTCAGATCGACCCGGAAAAAAAATTTTCTTATAGAATGTGGCCTGTAGAATCCATAATTTCAAACAGTTCCAAGATTGGGCTACTAGTTCAAAAGTTACAGCCCTTTGAATTTTCTTTCGAAATTGGTTTCTAGTCTATAACTTTTGATTGAGAAGTCTGATCGAAAAAGTACGAATTGTTTTGGATTCTACGCACCAAAATTAATAAGAAAAAGTGTTTTCCCGAGAAATTTTGGTGTAGTCGATTTTTGGTAAAAAAAGGAAGGTAATACACTGACTTTTTTGAGCTCAGAAAAAAAAATGTCTCAGATCGACCCGGAAAAAATTTGTCTTATAGAATGTGGCCTGTAGAATCCATAATTTCAAACAGTTCCAAGATTGGGCTACTGGTTCAAAAGTTACAGCCCTTTGAATTTTTTTTCGAAAAGGAAGGTAATACACTGCCTTTTTTGAGCTCAGAAAAAAAATTGTCTCAGATCGACCCAGAAAAAAAATTTTACTTATACAATGTGGCCTGTAGAATCCATAATTTCAAACAGTTCCAAGATTGGGCTACTGGTTCAAAAGTTACAGCCCTTTGAATTTTCTTTCGAAATTGGTTTCTAGTCTATAACTTTTGATTGAGAAGTCTGATCGAAAAAGTACGAATTGATTTGGATTCTACGCATCCAAATTAATAAGAAAAAGTGTTTTCCCGAGAAATTTTGGTGTAGTCGATTTTTGGTAAAAAAGGAAGGTAATACACTGACTTTTTTGAGCTCAGAAAAAAAAATGTCTCAGATCGACCCGGAAAAAATTTGTCTTATAGAATGTGGCCTGTAGAATCCATAATTTTCAAACAGTTCCAAGATTGGGCTACTAGTTCAAAAGTTACAGCCCTTTGAATTTTTTTTCGAAATTGGTTTCTAGTCTATAACTTTTGATTGAGAAGTCTGATCGAAAAAGTACGAATTGATTTGGATTCTACGCATCCAAATTAATAAGAAAAAGTGTTTTCCCGAGAAATTTTGGTGTAGTCGATTTTTGGTAAAAAAGGAAGGTTATACACTGCCTTTTTTTGAGCCCCGAAAAGAAAATTGTCTCAGATCGACCCGGAAAAAAAATTTTCTTATAGAATGGTGCCTGTAGAATCCATAATTTCAAACAGTTCCAAGATTGGGCTACTAGTTCAAAAGTTACAGCCCTTTGAATTTTTTTTCGAAATTGGTTTCTAGTCTATAACTCTTGATTGAGAAGTCTGATCGAAAAAGTACAAATTGATTTGGATTCTACGCACCCAAATTAATAAGAAAAAGTGTTTCCCGAGAAATTTTGATGTAATCGATGTTTGGTAAAAAAGGAAGGTTATACACTGACTTTTTTTGAGGTCAGAAAAAAAAATTGTCTCAGATCGACCCGGAAAAAAATTTCCTTATACAATGGTGCCTGTAGAATCCATAATTTCAAACAGTTCCAAGATTGGGCTACTAGTTCAAGAGTTACAGCCCTTTGAATTTTTTTTCGAAATTGGTTTCTAGCCTATAACTCTTGATTGAGAAGTCTGATCGAAAAAGTACAAATTGATTTGGATTCTACGCACCCAAATTAATAAGAAAAAGTGTTTTCCCGAGAAATTTTGGTGTAGTCGATGTTTGGTAAAAAAGGAAGGTTATACACTGCCTTTTTTTGAGGCCCGCAAAAAAAATTGTCTCAGATCGACCCGGAAAAAAATTTTCTTATAGAATGGTGCCTGTAGAATCCATAATTTCAAACAGTTCCAAGATTGGGCTACTGTTACAGCCCTTTGAATTTTTTTTCGAAATTGGTTTCTAGAAATTGGTTTCTAGTCTATAACTTTTGATTGAGAAGTCTGATCGAAAAAGTACGAATTGATTTGGATTCTACGCACCCAAATTAATAAGAAAAAGTGTTTTCCCCAGAAATTTTGGTGTAGTCGATTTTTGGTAAAAAAGGAAGGTTATACACTGCCTTTTTTTGAGGCCCGCAAAAAAAATTGTCTCAGATCGACCCGGAAAAAAATTTCCTTATAGAATGTGGCCTGTAGAATCCATAATTTCAAACAGTTCCAAGATTGGGCTACTAGTTCAAAAGTTACAGCCCTCTGAATTTTTTTTCGAAATTGGTTTCTAGTCTATAACTTTTGATTGAGAAGTCTGATCGAAAAAGTACGAATTGTTTTGGATTCTACGCACCAAATTTAATAAGAAAAAGTGTTTTCCCGAGAAATTTTTAAGTAGTCGATTTTTGGTAAAAAGGGAAGGTTGTACACACTGCCTTTTTTTGAGGCCCTCCAAAAAAATTGTCTCAGATCGACCCGGAAAAAAATTTTCTTATAGAATGTGGCCTGTAGAATCCATAATTTCAAACAGTTCCAAGATTGGGCTACTAGTTCAAAAGTTACACCCCTTTGAATTTTCTTTCGAAATTGGTTTCTAGTCTATAACTTTTGATTGAGAAGTCTGATCGAAAAAGTACGAATTGATTTGGATTCTACGCACCAAAAATTAATATGAAAAAGTGTTTTCCCGAGAAATTTTGGGGTAGTCGATTTTTGGTAAAAAAGGAAGGTTGTACACTGCCTTTTTTGAGGCCCGAAAAAAAAACAGCACATTCTATAAGACAAATTCTTTGCCGGGTCCGATCTGAGACA